TTGATCGACTGGATCCGCGCAGCTCGTCTCCAGCTTCGGAGGAGCTTTGGCTCTGACTTCCCTGTTTTGCGTCTGCACTCGGACAGAGGCGGAGAGTTCTCCTCTGCCCTCCTGAGTGCCTACTGTCGTGTGCGAGGCATCCGTCAGACCTTCACGCTTCCGGACTCACCACAGCAGAATGGGATTGCTGAGCGCCGCATTGGCATGGTCATGGACGTCGCTCGTACGTCCATGATGCATGCGGCTGCTCCCCATTTTCTGTGGCCGTTTGCGGTCAGGTACGCTGCGCACCAGATCAATCTCCACCCCAGGGTCTCTCGACCGGAGACCTCCCCAGCTCTGCTGTGGACGGGGAAGGTTGGCGATGCGTCGGCGTTCCGGGTCTGGGGATCTCGGGCGTTTGTTCGCGACCTGTCTGCGGACAAGCTGTCCCCTCGTGCTTCTCCCTGCGTCTTCCTAGGGTTCCCCCCCGACGCCCCTGGGTGGCAGTTTTACCACCCCACCTCTCGACGTGTTTTGTCCTCCCAGGACGTCACGTTCGACGAGTCGGTACCCTACTACCGCCTCTTCCCCTACCGCACTCCGTCGCTCCCCCCACCCCCGCTCTTCCTTGTGCCAGGTCCCCCCCCGGTAGTCCCCCTCCCCCCTCAGGGTCCTGCCCCTTCAGGTGTGTCCCAGGTAGACGCGGTTGAGCCTGTCGAGGTCACTGGTGACTCTGGTGCTGCTGCGGGAGCTGAGCCTGGGGGTGCGGAGTCTGGGGGTGCTGAGCCTAGGGGTGCTGTGCCTGGGGGTGCTGAGCCTGGAGGTGTCGAGCCTGGGGGTGCTGTGCCTGGGGGTGCTGAGCCTGGGGGTGCTGTTCCTGGGGGTGCTGCGCCTGGGGGTGCTGTGCCTGGGGGTGCTGAGCCTGGGGGTGCTGAGCCTGGGGGTGCTGTTCCTGGGGGTGCTGAGCCTGGGGGTGCTGTGCCTGGGGGTGCTTCGTCTCGCCGGGAGCCACTCTCCTCACAGGAGCTGCGTGAGTGGTTTGCCCGGCGCTGGAGGCGTGCTGCGGGTGCTGGTGGTTCTTCGGCTGCAGAGGGTACTGCTGCCACGCGTCCTGGCGGTGCTCGTACTGTGGGTGCTGGAGCTGCTGGGTCTGAGAGCTCTCCTGGAGCTGGTACTGCTGAGGGTGTTGGCGCTGAGCCTGCGGTTGGAGGTCCGACTGACAGTACTCCTGGTGCTGCTGCTGGAGGTTCTGGAGCTTCTGGTGGTTCTGCTGGAGGTGCTGCTGGAGTGGGTGCTCCTGACGGGCCTGCTGGTGCTGTTCCTGCTGTTTCTGGCGTCGCCGCGCGGCCCCGACCGTACTTCGTTCCGCTCCTGCAGCAGGTTCTTGGTCTTACACCTCCTCCTCCTCCCTTAGAGGGTCCGCAGCCTGTCCGGTCACAGCCACAGCTCCAGCCAGCCTCCCCTTTGCCTGCTCCTTCTCCCTACGCTGGTCCGACTGGAGGTCTTACTGAGCGTCGTGAGCCTGCGTCTCGTCCTGTGTCGCCTGTTCGTACTGAGCGCGCTAGTGGTCGCGGGTCGCGTCAGCGTCCTCCTCCTGTCCCTGGCACGCACCGGATGTCCCTGCGTCCGTCCACTGCTCCTCTGCGTGCCCCTTTGCCTTCTCCTCCTGCTTCCTCTCTTCCTGCTCTTGCCGACCCGGAGTCGGACTCTCTTCGTGCTGCCAGTCCTACTGTCACGCGTCTCCTTGCTACTGCTGGCACTGACCCTTCCTTCGAGTCGTCTGCTGCGTCTGCCCTTGTCACTGAGCTTGTCGACTTTGCTGCGCGCTGTCGTCTAGACTACGCTGCTCGTCTTGTCACTGAGTCTGAGTCCGCCTGTCCTCCGTCCGTTGGGGGTGAGTGTGCCCTTGGCACGGACGTCCTTGAGGACAGGTAGGAGGAGTTCCAGTGTCTGGCCGTCGCTTCACCTCGTCTCGCGTCTGTACTGCTAGCCCCTGAGGGAGACCCGGATGCACCAGACATCCCGACTCCGCGCTCTTACGCGGAGGCGATAGAGGGTCCCTACTCGTCTCAGTGGCAGGCAGCTATGGATGCAGAGATGGCTTCCTGGAAGTCCACAGGCACCTACGTTGACGTTGTTCCCCCTCCTGGGGCGAACATCGTCAGTGGCATGTGGATTTTCAGGGTGAAGCGGCCGCCGGGTTCTCCGCCTGTCTTCAAGGCGCGTTACGTGGCTCGTGGCTTCAGTCAGCGACAGGGGGTTGACTACTTTCAGACCTTCTCCCCCACCCCGAAGATGACCACTCTTCGGGTTCTGCTGCACGTTGCTGCTCACCGCGACTACGAGCTGCACTCTCTCGACTTCAGCACAGCTTTCTTGCAGGGCAGCCTGCACGAGGAGATCTGGCTGCGTCGCCCACCTGGCTTCACTGGGTCTTTCCCTCCTGGTACCCAGTGGAGTCTCCGGCGTCCAGTCTACGGTCTCTGCCAGGCGCCACGTGAGTGGCACGACACACTGAGGACTACGCTCGCGGCACTTGGGTTTGCTCCTTCTACTGCCGACCCGTCGCTGTTTCTGCGCACCGACACCTCTCTGCCGCCGTTCTACATCCTCGTGTACGTCGACGACTTGGTCTTTGCCACAGCTGACACTGCTGGACTCGCCTACGTGAAGTCCGAGCTGCAGAAGAGACACACGTGCACTGACCTGGGTGAACTGCGTAGCTACCTTGGCTTGCAGATCACCCGGGACAGAGCACGCCGCACCATTACCCTGACTCAGTCACACATGGTGCAGCAGGTCCTTCAGCGCTTCGGCTTCACGTACTCCTCGCCTCAGGCCACTCCTCTGCCTACTCGCCACTCGCTCTCAGCTCTGCCTTCGGATGAGTCCGTAGAGTCGAGTGGTCCGTTTGCAGAGCTTGTTGGCTGCCTCATGTACCTGATGACCTGCACACGACCTGACCTCGCATACCCTCTTAGCATTCTCGCACGCTTTGTTGCTCCTGGGAGACACCGACCAGAGCACATGGCTGCAGCGAAGAGGGTGTTGCGTTACTTGTGCAGTACGTCGGGCATGGGGCTAGTGCTTGGAGGGCGCAGTCCAGTGGTCCTCACTGGGCACGCAGACGCTTCTTGGGCTGACGACCAGGCTACGCAGCGGTCGTCACAGGGTTACATCTTCAGCCTTGGTTCCGGCTCTGTCTCGTGGCGGGCTACCCGCTCGTCTTCTGTTCTCGGCTCCAGTTGTGAGGCTGAGATCTACGCTGGGGCTATGGCTGCGCAGGAGTTACGCTGGCTCACCTACCTGCTGACCGACCTTGGAGAGCAGCCTCGTTCTCCTCCAGTCCTGTACGTAGACAACAAGGCCATGCTGGCCTTGTGTCGAGAGCAGCGACTGGAGCACAGAACGAAGCACATTGCTCTCCGCTACTTTCTTGCTCGTGAGCTATAGCAGCGTGGACAATTGCGACTTGCGTACGTGGCCTCTGAGGCCAACACTGCTGATGTCTTCACCAAGGCACTTGCGCCTTGTGATCATCAGCGTTGTTGCACGCAGTTGGGTCTTGTGCGTGTCTTGCCTCACTTGCTCTCCTCTTGACCTTGCTTGTACCTTCGCCTATATATACTCTTGCTCTTGCTTGCTTGACTCTTGTATATCTCTATATATGATCTTGCATGTGAACTGGCCGTCTGGCCTTTGAACTTGTGCTCGGAATGCGTGGTGACTTTGTGATCCACCCCGAGCTTGCTTTGCTTTGCTTTGCTTGACTGGTCTTGTGACCCCTTGTTCTCCCCCACTTTGCCTATGGGGGTGTGTCAGAACATATCTATAGCTTATACTATTGTGTAGGCTGTAGTGGGGTATCCCATAGGGGGTACAACCCAGTTAGGGTTTCATATTTGTACTGCCTTCATTCATAGTTCACACATTCCTGTTCATTCAGTTTCTGACCGTACAGTACGGTGAACCTGCTTCACCACACTCAGTCTATCCTTATTTTATTGTCGTGGCTTTTTTTTTTTCATTCGGAGGACATGCCAGTACTCGAAACACCCGAAACAAGGCATCACTCGAAACAGCGTGAAACACTCGACTTAACTAAAACAGGGCCTAACTAGGATCCTCATACTCAACCGTTGTTACTCACCTAATACTACAATGTTGGCGAGACGGACTCCCAAACGCTCCTACTGTAACAAATAGAAATTCCGTGGCAAAATATTCTACAAGATTCGAAAACAACAGAACTAAACAGTGTGGAATTGCCACGCTGTAAACCGCAATGCTGTCAGGTGGGCAAGGTCGCACTTGTCGTCTTGTACAAAACCAACGTGAGCGCGTGAACCTCGTTGCACAGCCCACGGTAACGCCTGGCAGAGTCTCAGCGAGCATCGTGTCACACGATGTTGTGGTCTCAAGCTACCGCTCGTGATAGCAGTCACGACGCAGGAACACCAACTCCTTCCCGTTGGCTTAGGTCCGGTCACCTTTCCCCCCTCTTTTTTCAGCGACTTACTCATGCTCCCCTCAATCAGCAACACGGCGCAGGTTTTCAGTGCCTAATATCCGCGACGTCGCGCTCTCATTATCTTACCGTCGGTCCGCATAGACGGCCACGCATAGTTGCACGTATCGATGTGCATCTCACTGTCTTACCCTCAGCCGTGACAGTACCGTGAGAGCTCCATAATCTCACTCACCACCGCCTCCATTCATGGCAACTCGCGGCGCCGCTCACGCCATCCACCACCCCATCGTTAGCGTGCCGCGTCGACCCTTCATGAGTGTAGCCGTTCCGGAATCGTGCTACTTGGCGACCCGTATCGTGACCGCGACCGAATCGCTCAAAGGTACGTCTCTTCATCGAGTTCCTTGGTCGTTTAAGCGATACATATCCTGATATAAAACGGTCCATTATAAACGTAGTAAGTACCGATCCCCTCTTCCGCTACAATTAGTCCCTGCAGTTCCGGATTTCTAACGTCCTATCATCTTTCCCGGGGCTATTGCGCAACATGTCGACTAAACTGCAGGTCTCGAAGGCGGTGACCAAGAAAAACACAGCCACGGGTGGCCCCGTGCAAAGTCCAGGCAAGGTGCAGAATGGTACGAAGAAGAAGAGCACGGAGGCTGCACCCAAACCCCGGACATCTAGCGGTGACGGCCCTCCTGGTGGCGAGGTTCGCAAGTCCAGCCGCCCTCGAAAGGTGAAAGTGTGGTTTGAGGAAGGGGCGGATGCTACCGAAGAAGGTGCTGATCCTGTTAAGTATGTCGGGAACAACCTTGATGGCGAGGATGTGGACAACCAGAAACACGAGGACGAAGCTGAGGCCAACGGCAAGTCGGGTGACGTGGGCGAAAACGAGGTGGACGAGGCAGTAGACGAGGCCGGCGACGAGCCGGAAGAGGAAGACTTGGCGGAGGACGATGCTGAAGAGAAGGCGGATGAAGAGGAGGGTGACGAGGCGGAGGAAGAGGAGGGTGACGAGGCGGAGGAAGAGGAGGGTGACGAGGCGGAGGAAGAGGAGGGTGACGAGGCGGAGGAAGAGGAGGATGATGAGGCGGAGGAAGAGGAGGATGACGAGGTGGAGGAAGAGGAGGACGAGGAGTCTGAGGAAGGGCAGGGGGATGAGGACGAGGCTGAGAAGGGAAGTGAGAAAGGCGATTCGGCGGAAGTGGGGGAAGGTGCGGATGCGCACAAGCCTCAAATCACAAGGAAGGCTAGCTTTGACGAGATGCTGGAAGAGCAGGGTGACGCTGATGACGAAGACATGGAGGATGAGGCTGTGGCTGAGGAACGTGCTATGCTGCTTGGGAAGCTGAAGGCACTCGATGAGATCAAGGAACCCGTTGTCAGCTCGAAGCCTGCTAGAAAGGGTGTGAAACGTCTTCCGCGTTCAGAACCCTCTAAGGTTCCTGCTAAGCCACCGCGAGGGAAAGATGTAGTCACATCGGCTAAGGGAAAGGATAAAGTTCTGGCGACCGAGAGTATTCTCGGTGGGAAGTCGAAACGGGAGTTCGCCTTGGTGGTTGGCGGTGCGCAGAAAAAGCAGAACACCGGTGAAGTGTCGGCCAAACCGAAGTCAACTCCTACGGCAGCAGGCGCTGGGACCAGCGGGGGAAAGGCCAAGGCAGGCGCTGGGGCAAGCGGGGTAAAGGCCAAGGCAGGCGCTGGGGCAAGCGGGGTAAAGGCCAAGGCAGGCGCTGGGACCAGCGGGGTAAAGGCCAAGGCAGGCGCTGGGACCAGCGGCGTAAAGGCCAAGGCAGGCGCTGGGGCTAAACCGACCTCTAAGGAGGCCAACACAAAAACCAAAGGTCAGACTTTTGCCGCATTGTATAGCACTGCGGGATGGTACCACTTTTTATTCGTGGCATGCTTGCTGATGTCACGTCGCTTTCCATCCTTCCCTGCCGTCGCTTTCCTCCCATCCATGCCGTCACCGTCATCCCATCCCTGCCGTCACCTTCATCCCATCCCTGCCGTCCCCTTCATCCCATCCCTGCCGTCACCTTCATCCCATCCCTGCCGTCACCTTCATCCCATCCCTGCCGTCACATTCATCCCATCCCTGCCGTCCCCATCATCCCATCCCTGCCGTCCCCTTCAACCCATCCCTGCCGTCACCTCTGACCCGTCTCTCAGTCACCTTTCCTCCATCTCTTCCGTCCCGTATACAATCAACAGCTCCCAATCAGTACTCTGGAGCTGCACCACCGGTGAAGGCGATCACTGAAGCCACCAAGCGCTATGAACTCGTCCCTGTCAAGAAAACCCCGTTTGTGGCGGCATCCTGTGATCGCCGTCAGGAGCATGGTGGTGTATCAAACGTGGAGCTTGACCAATTCGAGCGACGCGTGATGGCAAGGTTCGCCGAGATGCTGTCGGCCATACTTCGGGGTGCTGGTCCATCCGTCCCAATCGGAGCGCCTGCAGCAACTCCTCCTCATTCTGGCCCGAGCACCAGCTCGTCGGAAGGCCTTCCCTCCAGCAATAGTCCCCTGGCAAACCATCGCGAAATCGTGTACAAAGCGGTAGTCGACTTCAAGGTGCGTTCCCTGTGATACACTGTGTGTGCGTTTCCTAGATTGTTGCTCGACCTGTCTGCCCCCTCTCCCCTCAATCATAAGCCCCATTTGCTTCCCCTGCTTGGAACAAGAGAGTTGAAGCTTTTCCTTAACACTGACACATTCTGTGCCATCCAGGCACCTCCTAACCACAACATTAAACCCCGCTTGCTTCCCCACCCAGGCCTAGGGAGGTGAGGCTTTATGTAAACCCCAACTCCCCTCTGCTTGCCTGCCCACTCTCCCCTCAACCCCAAACCCCGCTTGCTTCCCCATACAGGCATAGGGTGGTGAGGCTTTACCTAAACCCCAACTCCCCTCTGCTTGCCTGCCCACTCTCCCCTCAACCCGAAACCACACCTGCTACCCTAAATACAGGCCTAGGGAGGTGAGGCTTTATCTAAACCCCAACTCCCCTCTGCTTGCCTGCCCACTCTCCCCTCAAACCCAAACCCCGCTTGCTTCCCCATCCAGGCATAGGGAGGTGAGGCTTTACCTAAACCCCAACTCCCCTCTACCTGCCTGCTCACTCTGCCCTCAACCCGAAACCCCACCTGCTACCCTAAATCCAGGCCTAGGGAGGTGAGGCTTTATCTAAACCCCAACTCCCCTATGCTTGCCTGCCCACTCTGCCCTCAACTCTAAACCCCACTTGCTTCCCATCCAGGTTTAGGGAGGTGATGCTTTACCTAAACCCCAACTCCCCTCTGCTTGCCTGCCCACTCTCCCCTCAACCCCAAACCCCACTTGCTTCCCCATCCAAGCCTAGGGGGGTGAGGCTTTACCTTAACCCCAACTCCCCTCTACCTGCATGCCTACTCTCCCCTCAACCCTAAACCCCACTTGCTTCCCATCTAGGTTTAAGGAGGTGAGGCTTTATCTAAACCCCAACTCCCCTCTGCTTGCCTGCCCACTCTCCCCTCAACCCGAAACCCCACTTGCTTCCCATCCAGGTTTAGGGAGGTGATGCTTTACCTAAACCCCAACTCCCCTCTGCTTGCCTGCCCACTCTCCCCTCAACCCCAAACCCCACTTGCTTCCCCTTCCAGGCATAGGGAGGTGAGGCTTTACCTAAACCCCAACTCCCCTCTGCTTGCCTGCCCACTCTCCCCTCAACCCCAAACCCCACTTGCTTCCCCTTCCAGGCATAGGGAGGTGAGGCTTTACCTAAACCCCAACTCCCCTCTGCTTGCCTGCCCACTCTCCCCTCAACCCCAAACCCCGCTTGCTTCCCCATCCAGGCATAGGGAGGTGAGGCTTTACCTAAACCCCAACTCCCCTCTACCTGCCTGCCCACTCTGCCCTCAACCCGAAACCCCACCTGCTACCCTAAATCCAGGCCTAGGGAGGTGAGGCTTTATCTAAACCCCAACTCCCCTATGCTTGCCTGCCCACTCTCCCCTCAACCCTAAACCCCACTTGCTTCCCATCCAGGTTTAGGGAGGTGATGCTTTACCTAAACCCCTACTCCCCTCTGCTTGCCTGCCCACTCTCCCCTCAACCCCAAACCCCACTTGCTTCCCCATCCAAGCCTAGGGGGGTGAGGCTTTACCTTAACCCCAACTCCCCTCTACCTGCCTGCCCACTCTCCCCTCAACCCTAAACCCCACCTGCTACCCTAAATACAGGCCTAGGGAGGTGAGGCTTTATCTAAACCCCAACTCCCCTCTTGCTTGCCTGCCCACTCTCCCCTCAACCCGAAACCCCACCTGCTACCCTAAATACAGGCCTAGGGAGATGAGGCTCTATCTAAACCCCAACTCCCCTCTGCTTGCCTGCCCACTCTCCCCTCAACCCCAAACCCCGCTTGCTTCCCCATCCAGGCATAGGGAGGTGAGGCTTTACCTAAACCCCAACTCCCCTTTGCTTGCCTCCCCACTCTCCCCTCAACCCCAAACCCCACTTGCTTCCCCATCCAGGCATAGGGAGGTGAGGCTTTACCTTAACCCCAACTCCCCTCTTGCTTGCCTGCCCACTCTCCCCTCAACCCGAAACCCCACCTGCTACCCTAAATACAGGCCTAGGGAGGTGAGGCTTTATCTAAACCCCAACTCCCCTCTTGCTTGCCTGCCCACTCTCCCCTCAACCCGAAACCCCACCTGCTACCCTAAATACAGGCCTAGGGAGGTGAGGCTTTATCTAAACCCCAACTCCCCTCTGCTTGCGTGCCCACTCTCCCCTCAACCCGAAACCCCACTTGCTTCCCATCCAGGTTTAGGAAGGTGAGGCTTTACCTAAACTATGACTTATGCTCTGTCTGCCCCCTCTACCATCAACCCGAAACCCCACTTGCTTCCCCACTTGCTTCCCTGCCCTCTACCCTCAACCCGAATAGCCACTTGCAAACCCTTACCGCTTGCCTTCCATATCTGTCACCTCCCCTATCCCCCTCCAATCTACAGGAATTGTCTAGGCGTGTAGCAACACATCTTTGCTTCAACATTGAAGCTTCAATGATTCAGTTCTACCCATCTGCGGAAGAGGCCTTAGATCATGGGTTTAGCGAGTTTGTGTCGCCACAGGTTCTGGCCTCGTTGCGTGCGCTCTTTCAGCACAACGATGTCAGCACCAGAGGGGTCTTTTTCGAGCAGCTGTCCTCAACTAGGACTTCTATCAACGGCTGGATGAGAAAGGTGGCACTCACGGCGTTGGGTTGGCAGGCGAACAGGTGCTACTTGGGGAGGTTACCAGCAGATCTGCTTGCCCCACTCGAGTTCTACACGGATGAGGAGCTCATTGCACGTTACAAGGATGGTGAGTTTGTATGAAGCTTTTGATCCCGTAGTTGTTGTTATGTGTGTACCAATAATTTCTATAAGCACTACTTTGTTCCACGTTGCCCATTTCGGTTGCCCTCTAGTCACCATCATGTCACCACCTTTCATCCCTTTGTCTCCTATGACCATGCAATCCCATTTCAGGGGAGAGGGGGCTGGCATGGCATCGGGAGCTCCTCATCCCTTTCGGCAGCCTCATCTTCTCGGTGTCCATCAAGTTGGCTTTGGCGCGTCGTGGGGTAAATTCTGAGAAGATTAAGACCCGCCAGCTGGGTTGGATCCTATATGCGGTGAGTTTATGGACAAGGTGTTATGTTTGTTGCCACGTGTGCGATGAGCGATTTAGTGTTGTGTTAACCTTTTTCTGTTCATTTATTCCACTACATTCCCACCTCATACCCACCACATTCCTACAGTTTGAGTGGCCAATCCTCAACAACGCGCCTGATGGGAAGTTGAGTGGCAAGTGGGAGTACAATCGGATCCAGTACGAGGAGATGTGCACCCGTGTGAAGCGGGAGGTCGAGATCGCTGTCATTGACCATGGTGTCCCATACGCCAAAAACACGAACACATTCAACTTCCCCAACGGCGTCTACATCGACGCGTCTGACATGGAGACCCTTGTCAGCAGGGTGCAGGTAAGTCATCCCTAGGACCAAAACCTTGCTAATATGGCACCGACACTTTGCTTATGTGGCACCAAGATCTTGCTATGGCACCAGCATTGCTGAATTCCTCCCATCTCATCCGTCCCCTTCCTCCCATCTCATCCGTCCCCTTCTTCCCATCTCATCCGTCCCCTTCTTCCCATCTCATCCCTCCCCCCTCTTCCCATCTCATCCGTCCCCTTCCTCCCATCTCATCCGTCCCCTTCCTCCCATCTCATCCGTCCCCTTCTTCCCATCTCATCCGTCCCCTTGTTCCCTTCTCATCCGTCCCCTTCCTCCTATCTCATCCGTCCCCTTCCTTCCATCCCCTTCCGTCCCCTATGCCTCTTTGCACAGGCTGCACGACCTGCACCAGCCCGGGTTGTCACCCCAAACCCGTAATCATGGAGGTTAGCAGCAGCACTAGGGGGATCGGTGCAGGGCGTAGCAGTGGCAGTAGCAACCTGCAGGAGCAGCACGGAGACAGGTGCGGAGTAGCGTAGCAGTCGCAATAGCAACCTGCAGGAGCAACACAGAGACTGGTGCGGAGGGGCGTAGCAGTGGCAGTAACAACTAGTAGCCGCAGCATGGGGACATGGGGAGCAGCAGTGGCAGCAACGGGACAGGTGCGGAGCAGCAGCGGCAGCATGGGGACAGGTGCTGAGCAGCAGGGGCAGCAGGGAGACAGGTGCGGAGCAGCAGTGGCAGCATCGGGACAGGTGCGGAGCAGCAGTGGCAGCATCGGGACAGGTGCGGAGCAGCAGTGGCAGCATGGGGACAGGTGCGGAGCAGCAGTGGCAGCATGGGGACAGGTGTGGAGCAGCAGGGGCAGCATGGGGACAGGTGCGGAGCAGCAGTGGCAGCATGGGGACAGGTGCGGAGCAGCAGGGAAGGATGTGGCAGTGCTCTTATCATCAGTAGAACCAACCCACCATCAGTAGAAGGATGTGGTAGTGTAGAAGCAATACAATTGTTCGTGTGAAACAAGGAAAACAGGAATGAAATGACTATGGAAGATTGGGTACAAATACAACCCTAGAGACCCTGTACCCCATATGTGCTACCCCACTATAGCCTACAAAAACTATGTCATATAAATCTGACACACCCCCATAGGCAAAGTGGGGGAGAACAAGGGGTCACAAGACCAGTCAGGTAAAGCAAAGCAGAGCAAGCTCAGGGTGGATCACAACGTCACCACACAGTCCGAGCACAAGAGCAGGGCCAGAGGCCAGTTCACATGCAAGAGTACAGACATATATATATAGAACTAGACAAGCAAGAGCAGGTATAAATATATGTAACAGTACAAGTGAAGTCAAGAGGAGAGCAAGTGAGGCAAGACAGGCACAAGACCCAGCTGGGTGCAAAAGCGCTGATGGTCACAAGGCGTGAGTGCCTTGGTGAACACATCAGCAGTGTTGGCCTCAGAGGCCACGTACGCAAGTCGCAACTGACCACGCTGCTGCAGCTCACGAGCAAGGAAGTAGCGGAGAGCAATGTGCTTCGTTCTGTGCTCCAAGCGCTGCTCTCGACACAAGGCCAGCATGGCCTTGTTGTCTACGTACAGCACTGGAGGAGAACGAGGCGGCTCTCCAAGGTCAGTCAGCAGGTAGGTGAGCCAGCGAAGCTCCTGTGCAGCCATGGCCCCGGCGTAGATCTCAGCCTCACAACTGGAGCCGAGAACCGAAGACGAGCGAGTAGACCGCCACGAGACAGAGCCGGAACCAAGGCTGAAGGTGTAACCCTGTGACGACCGCTGCGTAGCCTGGTCGTCAGCCCAAGAAGCGTCCGCGTGGCCGGTAAGGACCACTGGACTCCGCCCTCCAAGCACTAGCCCCATGCCCGATGTGCTGCACAGGTAGCGCAATACCCTCTTCGCTGCAGCCATGTGCTCTGGTCTGTGTCTCCCAGGAGCAACATAGCGAGCAAGAATGCTCAGAGGGTATGCAAGGTCAGGTCGTGTGCAGGTCATCAGGTACATGAGGCAGCCAACAAGCTCTGCATACGGGCCACTCGACTCTACGGACTCATCCGAAGGCAGAGCTGAGAGTGAGTGGCGAGTAGGCAGAGGAGTGGCCTGAGGCGAGGAGTACGTGAAGCCGAAGCGCTGAAGGACCTGCTGCACCATGTGTGACTGAGTCAAGGTAATGGTGCGGCGTGCTCTGTCCCGAGTGATCTGCAAGCCAAGGTAGCTGCGCAGTTCACCCAGGTCTGTGCACGTGTGTCTCTTCAGCAGCTCGGACTTCACGTAGGCGAGTCCAGCAGTGTCCGCTGTGGCAAAGACCAAGTCGTCGACGTACACGAGGATGTAGAACGGCAACAGGGAAATGTCGGTGCGAAGAAACAGCGACGGGTCAGCAGTAGAAGGAGCAAACCCAAGAACCGCAAGCGTAGTCCTCAGTGTGTCGTGCCACTCACGCGGTGCCTGACGGAGACCGTAGACTGGCCGTCGGAGGCTCCACTGGGTGCCAGGAGGGAAAGTCCCAGTGAAGCCAGGTGGACGGCGAAGCGAGATCTCCTCGTGCAGGCTACCCTGCAAGAACGCAGTGCTGAAGTCGAGAGAGTGAAGCTCGTAGTCGCGCTGAGCGGCTATGTGCAGCAGCACCCGAAGAGTAGTCATCTTCGGGGTGGGAGAGAAGGTCTGAAAGTAGTCAACTCCCTGCCGCTGACTGAAGCCACGAGCAACGTACCGTGCCTTGAAGACAGGTGGAGAGCCCGGCGGCCGCTTCACCCTGAAGATCCACATGCCACTGACGATGTTCGCCCCAGGAGGGGGAACCGCGTCAACGTAGGTGCCTGTGGACTTCCAGGAAGCCATCTCTGCATCCATAGCTGCCTGCCACTGAGAGGAGTAGGGACCCTCTACGGCCTCCGCGTAAGAACGCGGAGTCGGGATGTCTAGTGCATCCGGGTCTCCCTCAGGGGCAAGCAGTACAGACGCGAGATGAGGTGAAGCAGCCGCTAGACACTGTAACTCCTCCTGCCTGTCCTCTAGGACGTCCGTGCCAAGAGCACACTCACCCCCGACGGACGGAGGACAGACAGACGCAGACTCAGCAACCAGACTAGTAGCGTAGTCGAGACGACAGCGAGCAGCAAAGTCGACGAGCTCAGCGACTAGAGCAGACGCAGCCGTGGACTCAAAAGAGGGGTCAGTGACGACAGTAGCAAGCAGACGCGTGACAGTAGGACTGGCAGCACGAAGAGAGTCCGACTCACGGTCGGCAAGCGCAGGAAGAGAGGACTCAGGAGGAGAAGGCAAAGGGGCACGCAGAGGAGCAGTGGACGGACGCAAAGACATCCGGTGCGTGCCAGGGACAGGAGGAGGATGCTGACGCGAACTGCGACCACTAGCGCGAGCAGCACGAACAGGCGACGCGGGACGAGACGCAGGCTCACGACGCTCAGCAAGACCTCCAGTAGGACCAGTGTAAGGAGAGGGAGCAGGCAGTGGAGAGGAAGGATCCAGTAGGGACTGCGACTGGACAGGCGGTGGACCCTCTACTGGAGGAGAAAGACCAAGAACCTGCTGCAGGAGCGGAACGAAGTACGGCCGAGGCCGCGCGGCAGCTCCAGACTCAGCATGGACAGCACCAGTACCCTCAGCGACAGCACCAGCGCCACCCACACCTCCAGCGGCAGGACCAACAGCAGTAGGCTCAGCACCAACGCCCTCAACAGCTCCAGCTCCAGGAGGACCAGTAGGTCCAGCAGCTCCGGGACCGGCAGCACCCGCACCCTCGACGGTCGAAGAAGCTCCAGCTCCAGCTCCAGCAGCACCTCCAGACTCAGCAGCACGCCTCCAGCGGCGAGCGAACCACTCGCGCAGCTCCTGTGGAGAGAGGGGCTCCCGGCGAGACGCAGCAGTAGGAGAAACCCCAGGCTCAGCAGCTCCAGACGCAGCACCCCCAGGCTCAGCAGCTCTCAGCTCAGCACCCCCAAGCTCAGCAGCTCCCGACCCAGCACCCCCAGACCCAGCACCTCCAGGCACAGCACCCCCAGGCTCAGCACCCCCAGGCTCCGCACCCTCCGCAGTAGCACCCTCAGGCCCAGCACCCCCACCAGTAGTACCCCCAGGCTCAGCACCCCCGCGCACAGCACCCCAAGAGTCAGCACCCCCAGGCTCAGCACCCGCAGCAGCACCAGAGTCACCAGTAACCTCGACCGGGTCAACGGCGTCTACCTGGGACACACCTGAGGGGGCAGGAACCTGAGGGGGGAGGGGGTCTACCGGGGGGGGAACCGGCACAAGGAAGTCCGGGGGAGGGGGGAGGGAAGGAGTGCGGTAGGGGAAGAGACGGTAGAAGGGGACTGACTCGTCGAACGTGACGTCCTGGGAGGACAGAACACGACGAGAGGAGGGGTGGTAAAACTGCCACCCTGGAGCGTCAGGGGGGAAGCCAAGGAAGACACAGGGAGCAGCACGGGGGGACAGCTTGTCCGCAGATAAGTCGCGGACAAACGCCCGAGATCCCCAGACACGGAACACAGACGCATCGCCAACCTTCCCCGTCCACAGCAAGGCTGGGGACATCGCAGGCCGAGAGACCCGGGGGTGAAGGTTGAGCTGATGCGCCGCGTACCTCACCGCAAACGGCCACAGAAAATGGGGGGCAGCCGCATGCATCATGGACGTACGAGCGACATCCATGACCATGCCAATGCGGCGCTCAGCAATCCCATTTTGCTGTGGTGAGTCCGGAAGCGTGAAGGTCTGGCGAATCCCCCGTGCGCGACAGTAGTCTCGCAGAAGGCGAGAAGAGAACTCTCCGCCTCTGTCAGAGTGCAGACGCAGAACAGGAAAGTCCGAGCCGAAGCTCTTCCTGAGCTGGAGACGAGCCTCGCGGATCCAGCCGATCAGCACCTCAGTGACCTCACCCTTGCTGCGCAAGGGGAGGACTGTGGTGTAACGCGAGTAGTCGTCAACCACCAACAGGAAGTAGCGCTCGTAACCCTGCCCACGGACGGGGGCTGGGCCCCACACATCCATGTGAAGCGTCTGCAGGGGAGCCTCTGTCGGGGGGAAGTGGGAGGAGTGAGGAGTAGCCCGGAGGCGACCCTCAACACAGGGGACACAGGAAGGTCCTGGCCCGGAGGGGAGAGGAGGGAGAGACTGGGGAAGACCAGAGACAAGGACACGGGAAGCCATGCTCCGAAGACGGGGCAAGGAGGGGTGGCCAAGACGGTGGTGACACAGGAGAGTCTCGTGAGACAGGAGGCGACAAGAACAGGGGGCTGTCTCAGGACCTGACCGGGACGCAGCAGCAAGTACCTGACCCGACGCAGCCACCTGACCAGACGCAGGGACAGGAGGAGACTCAACGGTCAGGGTGTAGAGACTCGACCCCGGCCGACGCGAGAACGTGGCCAGGTGTCGGCCTGTGCGTGCCTCCGTGCAGTGGGTCACCCGCTGACTCGCAGGAGTGAACTGATGAACACCCCCATCCTGCAGGTCCGCTCCACTCACCAAGTTCGTGGAGAACGAGGGAAGGTACAGACCCGACAGGGTGCCCGAAGGGGCAGCCGGACACGGGAGGACAGTGGAGAAGTGAGACAGGACAGGACCTCCAGAGGGGTCAGCAAGGGAGACTGCAACCGGCCGGCCGAGCGGCGTAAGGGTAGTGCGGTCTCGAAAGAAGGAGCGAGAAGCTCCGGAGTCAAGTGTGAAAGTGAGGGAGGACGAGGACGACGCAGTACCTGAGAGCGCAGTCTCACCTATACCTGAGAGCGCAGACGCACTGGCACCTAGAGCAGTAGCCTCACAAGCACCTAGCGCAGCAGTACCAATGCCCGGGTCGGGCTGGAAACAACGGTAACCCTCATTCTCCTCACTATAATCCACAACATACATAGCAGTAAGGATAGCATCAAAATCAAGATCAAAGATCGCTACACCAGCCCTGAGAAGCTCATCCCAGCGAGGGATCTCACTAGCCCC